GCTGACTCAGCGTTTGTTAGGAGTAACAGTGTGAATGCTGACTCAGCATTTGTTATTAGAAGTCAGAACTCTGATTATGAACTGTTTTAGGAGTCTCGTAGAGTTCTCGTTGATCTGGTTTAAAGTGGCCCCTCTTCTCGGTGTGTCTGCTTGTAGCTCCTCATTAAAGAGAGAAGATTTGGACCACTCCATGTGGTCCAACCAGTGTCCTTCACAGGACCTTCAGCCACCTCTGCTCTCCTCCAGCTCCACCCAAACACAGATCCAGACAGGAGAGATGAGTGGCTCCAGAACCACCGAGCTACAGGAACCAGTGTCAGCTGATATTAAAGAGGGTCCATCAGAACCCCAAGGTAAGACCTTCCACCTGGGGAACGGGCCATAGATGGGTTAACTTCTAAAATCTGTATTTCTTACAGAAATACTTTGTCCAGGTAACGCGTTCTGTTCATCCTCTACAACCCCAGGTTATGGCTCATCACAGTCAGCACTGAACCAGCCCAACACTGTAGAACCTGAACCAAGCTCAGAACCTAACACCTCTGAGCGTAAAGCATCAGACAGAACCAGGTCCAGAGATAAATCACCATCTGGGAGGAAAATGAGATTATCTAAGTCACCCCAGAGGAGCAAAGACCAGAAGTCGTCAAAGAGAGAGAAAAGATCCAAGTTTCCTCACAGGAGCTACAGGAGGAGGTCCAGGTCCAGGTCCAGGAGTCGCTCAGTGAGGAAGAGGTCTCGGTCCAGGTAGTAATGTTTTTATGGTTTTAGATCAGCCGTTGGTGTTTCTGTTTGTGCTGGACTCAAATTCACCAAGTTCTGACTATGTTGTAGGTCCAGGGTCAGGCGGACTCGGAGGTCGCGCTCACGCTCAGTGTCCCGCAGCCGAAGGAGGGCAGCGTACAGCCAGAGGGACAGATGGAAACGAGAACCAAGCCACTCCCCTGTTCTCATCCTCCGCAAAAAACGAACACCCCCCAGGAAAGATAGGAGCCGGAGTGGAAGCCCCCACCGCATCAGTGAGCTAGGTGAGTTCTGGCCGCTCGTCCTGAGCCTGGTTCTGCTGGAGGCTTCTTCCTGTTCAAAGGGACTTGTTTCTTTCCACTGTCTCCTTTGTTCCTGCTCAGGATGGGAGACTGACGGAGTGAAGATTCAACTAGGCCTGTCGCGATAAACAATAAATCAATAAATCAATTAATCACACGATAAATGAAAATGATCGACCTCATTTTCATTTATCGGTTTCTTCGTGTCTCTCTTTCTGAAGACACTGGGTGACAAAAGGTTCAACTCCGGTGCTCTTCACTGACCCCTCCCTTTCTCTTTACAATCCTTTTTAATGATCCAAAATCACGTTTTTGGATCATTAAAAGCAGCTGAGCTACGAGCTAAGCTAACAGGCCGACCTCGTGAAAAATCCTCCGTCTTGTCCAAGCTCCAAGATTCACGGTTGGAATCCGTGCCTTCGTGTAAAAAGTTGTTTTTCTCTGCAAAAAGAAGCTGAGAACTTGTTTACTGACTTTTTATTAAAAGCTTTTTGTGACAAATGCTAAAGAGCTCAAGCCACACCGAGCGTCCGCCATTTTGAGAACCGAAGAGAGACAGCCCATGTCATGTCAAGGGGCCTCCCTCCCATTTGTCTTAGAGGCACGCTGCTCGCTCCCTCACTATCCATCCTTCGGTTCAAACAGTCTTATACTGCCACCCGGTGGTCAAAAAAGATACTACATGCAAAACTAATTGCCAAACATTTCTTCCTAAATTTGACGATAATTACTAATTATCGTCAAATTTCAAACAATATTATCATTTATCGCAATAATTTTTGAGACATTGAATCGCCAAGCAAAACTTGTTATGGTGCCAGGCCTAGATTCAACACGGTCTGCTGCTTCCTTGGATAGAGAACGTTACTGATGGGTTTTTACTCAATATGCTGCCGGTGTGTGGTGGCCCCTTGGCCTGGTTTGCTTTTTTCCTATATTTTGTACTTAGCACTACGTCTGTGCTGGTGTTCAATCAACAGTCTCTCCTGGATATTCACTGTGTCTTTGGTGTTTGTAGAGGACAAACACTGATTGAACTGTATCTGCTGCTCTTTAGTTAAGTTACGTCAGGTCTTTTTAAAACTGAAGGTTTCTAAGAACCAGTGTTATATCTACTGTCAAACACAAGAAGATTCTCTTCAGTCCTTGGTTGTAGCTGCACCTGACACAGGTGAGTCTGGTCTGGATACAATGAAGCATCTGAAGAGAAACCTGCTCCATTTGTCCAAAAAGTCTTAGTTAAAGATCATGAGTCCTGTGACGAGATAATGGCCCAAAACAAAATGTTCTTTAGAAGTTCTTCTATGAGATGTGATCCATGAAAGGAGCTGAAACATGAAGGACTGACCCTTAAAATGTGAGACAGCTGAGGAAGTGAACCAGTAAACAGAATACCTGCTCCAGGTGCAGAAATCTGACAGAAACTGACCATCACTCATCTGCAGGGACTGATTTAAAAGATGAACAAGAACATGTGAAGTTAAAGGAAACATCCTTTGTCTCAAAGACAGTTGAAGTATCATTATTATTTTGGTTACTTTATTTTACTTTCTTTATGAACTGATTGTAACTATTTTCACATTATTCAACAACCAACACAGATTTAGTTTTTTAATGTAATGGCTAGGTATTAAAAAACAAACATTTAGTCCTCCCCACTACACATTTATGTTGCTCTTAGTTTGAAATGTCACTGGAAGTTCTGTTAAGAGAGGCGGAAAGAGAAGGTATGGTAATGTTGAACCGGTTAACACCATAGACGTAATATGTCTGTGGTTTACACAAACGCCTTGTTTTTTTCATTCAGCCTTTCTTTTCCCCGTCCAATCAGATGTAGCCCTCCCCAGATAAGCCCATTGTTTTATCATCCAATCAGATGTGGCCCTCCAGATAAGCCTTCTGTTTTTGTCTGCAGAGATACCTACTTAGCCCTCCAGGCGGAAACATCATCGTTACCGCGGTAAATGTGGAGGATGGCTGGTGAAACTAAAGATCTGCCTGGTCTGTTCTACTTCCATTTCCCGAACAAGAAATAGATTATTTCCTTCTTTTGCTGTGTCTTGGCGTTTCCTGGATCCTGTCGACAGCTGTCTAGTACCTGTCACCGGTCTGGATGCGAGCGTTCGGCTCCTGCTTCTCTTGTCTCCACCAGCGTGGAGTGAACCTTCAGAGCCTGAAGACGCTGGCCCGGGCCCGCCCATCCAGTGGACAGCAGGCTGCGGTTTCTGCCAGGATTGGCCTGGTGAACGCCAGATCTCTAACAAACAAAACTTTCATCCTGCGGGACTTTTTCAGTTCCCGTCATTTGGATTTGCTCTGCATCACAGAGACCTGGGTTGAGGCTGATGACTCCAGTGTTTTTGTTGAACTTCTACCAGACGGCTGCTCTTATCTAAGCTCTCCTCAGATGTCAGGCCGTGGAGGAGGAACGGCGGTGGTTTATAAAAACAACTTTAAATGCAAGCAGTGCTCTGCACCGTCTTCATTCTCCAGCTTCGAGGTGACTTTATTTGAGGTGGGTCGCTCACACCCCGTGCTGTGCGCTGTCATCTACAGAGCCCCTAAATATAATAAGGATTTCTTGAATGACTTTTCTGATTTCCTGACTGGAATAATGATAAACTATGATCGAGTCCTTATTGTTGGGGATTTTAACATGCATGTATGCTGCCCAGAGAAACCACTGGTGAAGGACTTTCTCAGCCTCACTGACTCATTTAACCTGGTTCAGTGGGTGGCTGGTCCCACACATGAACATGGACACACG